AAAACTCATTTTCCCAAGTCCTCCTGAGTAAAAAAAAAAAAAATCTAATCTCCATAAGCTTCCACTCCTCCTCTCACCATTCCCCACCCAAACACCCAAGGACTAAAATGTGCTAACACTGCAGATGCAAAATTTTAAATGGCTATTGTCCATAAAAGGCTTGATTCACTCAATCAAAAAAGCAAAGGACCTGCAATGCACTAGGCATTGTTCCAACTGCTGGAATAGAGAAGGCGAAGACTCAAACCTGATACATACTCAAATCTTGAGGGGCTGGGAAAAGTAACAGATAACAAGTAAATGGAAAAATTATTTCTGATAGTAAAAGATGCTATTAAAAAAAAAAAAGGTTACATGAAGAGATGTCAGAGATCTTTATTCAGAATGAAAAAGCCAAGTACACAGACCTCCTCAGGGCTGAGTGTTCCAGACACAAGATTTCAAGTGCCAAGACCGTACGTTAGAAGCTTGTTATTTTCGAGGAACAAGAAAAAATATAGCTGGGAGCCATAAATTAAAGATCAAAGAATGGCCCTCTCAAATATCTCCCTGCCCTAATTTCTAGAACCTGTGAATATGCTACCTTATGTAGACTTTGCAGATGTACTTATATTCAGTATTAAGGAATTTGAGATGGGGAATTATCCTGGATTATCTGGGTGGCCCAACATAATCACAAAAGTCCATAAAAGAGGGAGGCACAAGGATCAGAGCCAGAGATGATGGAAGGATGGAAACAGAGATTACACTGAAGATGGAGAAGGGGCCACAAGCCAAGAATTGTAAGCAGCTTCTAGAAACTGGAAATGGCAAGGAAACAGATTCTCCCCTAGTGGCTTTGGAAGGCAGGAAGGCCTGCTGACACCTTGATTTAGCACAGTGAAACTGATTTCGAACTTCTGACCTTCAAAGCTGTTAAGACAATAAACTTGTGTTTTAAGTCACCTAAGTTTGTGGTAATTTGTGACAGCAGTGATAGAAAACAAATACTTACTGCCTACTATATGTTATGTCAGGTATTGGGTAGGATGAAAAAAAGCCCACCTTAAAAAGTTAACTGCTGAAGAGAAGGGAGCACTTGAATGAGAGGCACGTGTATGCTTTGGCTAGTTTGATACCAAATCTGTAAAGGAAAACAGCGGGAACAGAAAGTTGTCAATCTTTCCCTGCAGGTGGTCCCCAATGACACTTCAAGAATCTGTCACATCCTAGACATCCTTGTGTAGCACTTATGATATTTGTGTTAAGTCTATCTTGCCCATTAACACAAGAAAGCAGAGGCTATTTTCCTTTGTACATCCCTGCTAAGTGCTCAAGTTACACAGCACACAGCATTTACTTAGCACTCTGGGCCAGGCACTGCCCTAAGCATTTTCCATAACCTATTTAATCTTCACTAAAATCCTATGAAATTAGGTACTATTATTTCCCCCGTTTTGCTGGTAAGAAACCAGAGATGAAGTAATTTAATGGCTCAAACTATTAAGTGGAAGCTGGATATGAATTCATGCAGTTTGGCTCCAGAGCCAGCATTCTTAATTCAGTTTACCACCAAGGAAACTTCAAAGGTAAGCAAGACCAGGAAACACCAGGAACAACTAAACTAGGGTAGCTAGGGGTAGACCTAATAAAGCTGGAACTTTGAAGGGTACGAAAAGGCAATGTACTTATGTGAAGTGAATCTTTGTATAAGTAGAACCTGGGTGGCCCAGACTTTGATCATCAGAGGTTGGTTAGCCTTCTAGTGGATGTGGATGATCTCTTGCAGAAAATGACACCACTTTCAGGGGAGTTTTTTAAGTAAAATAAGATATTAAAGTGCATTTCAACAGGTTCTAATAGTTCACAAAATATTCTCATGTTCAGTTTTAATCCTTACAATCCTGTGAAGGCAAATGATTATCCCAATTTACTCCCTAGCAATCTGACAGCTGTAACTGTCACCTGACAGCATGCTTTGTTTGTTTATTCCCATTGCTTTAGTTATCTACCATATTCCCAGATGTCCTCCCCACTTCCAAACTCTCTCATACATCTCCCTATCCTCTGGTCCTCTAGCTGCATTCGGAAACTATGTGGACAGTGAATTTCCAGGACTGAAAACAAATGTGTCTGCAGAAGACATGTACAGCCCAAACACTGTTTCTTTCCCCTCCATATACCTACAGATCTTCCTATCCCCCTCACCAGCTTCACCAATATTTGCTATTTTGGGTAATGATGTGTCAACATCCATGGACTGCAAAAAATGTGCCACTCAATGTTGACAGTGGGGGCAGGAGGGTATAATGGAACTCTAGTTTTGCTGTGAACCTAAAACTGCTCTTAAAAAGTTAATTCTTTTGAAAAAAACATTATTAAATACCACCATCCCATATATAGAATGCCATTTCTATTACTATTCCAAATCCTACATGCCTAGGTAGTTAGCAATATGCCACCTGAGCAACTTTATTATTAGGTAGTTAGCAATATGCCACCTAAGCAACTTTATTACAGTAAATACCGTTCAGAATACTGGTTGTGCAAAGACTCGTGGGCTATACTGTGTAGTTACCTACCAAAGTAGTAAAACAAAACAGGCAATTTCAAAACTTAAAGACTTTTAGGCTCCACCAAGAGATTAATGTATGATTTTGTTACACATTGATCCAACTGTTTACCAAGATATTAAATTTCTTGCAAAACACTATAGACATGTATACATGGAACATTGGTTTTATAAACTAATAACCTTGATTTCCCTCCAGGATTCCCTGACCCTAAACTCACTAATCCAAATAGCTTCCAACACCCAAGAATTTAAATGTATTTGTCTAGCAACTTTCAAATACTAAAAAGTGATGATTCTGGTGCAAAAAAATCAAAAGAATAGGGCATCTATTTCATACGGCATCATACCCTTGGCACTATCAGTGAGAATCATAAACCTTTTTACTTTTATTTTATGTACTTCCTGTTACACTACACTTAAAACTTTCAGGTTTGCTAGCCTAGGTGAGATGATACATAAAAATATACAGGGAATGTTACTTATAAAAGCCTTTCTATTTCAAGTTTTTGCTCACTAGTATTCTCATGAGTTCTTTAGGTGCTCCAAATAAATTGCATCCATGGGCACATTTCATTTCTTCCTTCTTGATATACACAATATGTAGTGGAATTATTAGGAACTCACGTAAGTATGGGTAGAAGACGCAAAGCAAAAACATAAAAGTGAAATCCAAAAAGAAAATGACACATTTACTCACTACTTTATAGCCAAGCCAAAGCCTGAGAAAATGGAATTTCAGCAACGGGTTTTTATTTGTAAACTGAACCTTTACTCATGCACAAAGGCCTGTGAAATGGGCTTTCTTAGAATAGACCCATTTTGGCCAACTCAAAAGTGAAAAATCAGGACTTCGTACAGGAAAATCTTCAATAAACCCCAGGAATGTTTTTCACAAGATACAAACTGGACCCTAAGTTTTACACGCAACACGCTGTTTGTTGATTTGACTTAACTGTGTCA